TCACTAGTCACAGTTAAAATCAAAATGATATTGTTGGTAATTTTGAATAGGCAGCCATTTCGACGAAAAAAATCAGCTTTATACAGTTTGCGTTAAACTGTCTGTGAAGGCATTAATGTGAAGTGTTCTCAAGCTTTTGATGACTTCTGCTGCATTGTTAGCGGCATTTGTCTCTGGCATTTTACAAACAACTCTAGAGAGGAGACGGTGTTGTGACATAAGCAAAACAAGGCACAGGATTTGCTGGTTTACTGCTCCCACCTCAGGAGACACTGCTGCAGTGTGTACTGTGTCGTGCTTTATAACAGACCCGACTAATCCATTACTAAATTAGTTGCCAACTATTTTTATAATGAATTAAATCAATTAGTTGTTGCAGCCATAATGTTGTTCTATTATATTTCCAGAAAACATATGTGTTGGTCATTTATTAAGTGTGTTCTCCTTGTCACCTCAGCTACCTTCAAGGCTGGAAGAAGACTCTCCTCATAGTTTCCCACGATCAGAGTTTCCTTGATGATGTGTGTACGGATATCATGCACTTAGACAACCAAAAACTCTACTATTACAGAGGGAATTACTGTAAGTATCCCATTTATTTCAAGATCTTTCTAATCATGTAACTGCTTCTGTTTCTCCTCCTAATCAACATTACCCTGAAAATACAGTTCTCTGCTAAAGTTTTAGGCACTTGAAGTAAAGTCAGGATTCTTTCAAAAATAATTATATGAAGAAGTGCATTAAACTGAAAAAAGCTGAATCAGATCGGTTCGCAAAGTGAACCTAGTGCTGGTGCTGGTTCAAAACTGGTTCAAGTTTACCCCTTTTCTAACAAGACAGCTCAAGGGCCATTTCGGAGTCAGTGACTAATCTCAAACCAGTTCTTTGTAGGGGTGTGCAATATGATATTAGATCGCAAACGATTACAATGTTTACCATTCTACAAAATTAGACCAGAAATCCTGCACTTAATTCCAAAAAAAATGTAATAATGAAATTGACAAAGATATCTTGCAAATAGCAGCTTGTATTAAAGAAAATTAAATAATCACATGTCCCACCTGGACGGCATAATGGAAACAAAAGTTGGGAGGCAACCACAACACACCAACCCAAACAATACAAATACAAACAAAATTATTCCCCCGAAAGCCCAATGCCCTTCATAAATAATCCTTGGATGTGCTTTCATCACGATCTGCTTGACAAAACTCACTGGCTCATCACCTGCATGTGCGCTTCTTGAGAGGCATCCCTTTCCCCTTTTAATTGTGGAGAGAGAAAAAATATAATAAAATAACGATGGAAGTCCATTCCCGCATCATATATAGTCAGGCCTTTGACAGACATTTAATTTAGGCCTACAAAATATATTAGGTGTGGACGCTTTATACTGCTACCTCAAAAACACAGAATGAGAAGAGACTGGTTTTGCTGAGGATCTGTGTCTAATAAGCTTACAAAAATTAGCAAAAGTCTTGTAATTGGAAATTGAAATTATGTAGCTCACATGATGACGCTGTGTGCTCTCTGGACTAAATGTTTGAAAATGTCGGAGACCAACATGGTTAACGATATAGCAGAGTCGTCACAAGTATGGGAACACTTTACATAAAAGCCTTTAAATACCGTTGGCTGCAAAGCTCTGTAAAGCTGATTTTACATGGAACAGCAGCACAACATCGCTTTAGTAGGAACCTGAGGAGAAAACATTTTGTACTTTTTCCTCTTCTCTCATTTTAAACAACTTTTGGTTAATACCACAGTGATGTGCTGCTGTGTCATGTGTAATCTTTTCAACAACTGTAATTACATAATAAGATAAGAACTACTTTGAAGATGATATC